TCGGTCAGTGACCTGGCCTGACATGAAAACATCTTTGTGCCGAAGAACCAACCCAATACCAACCCAAATAAGCTGAAACCAAGGTCGGGAGTGCCAACCTTAAGCTTTCCATCGGCCTCATGTTCAAAGAAATCTAGACAAAGGCCACAGGGGGGGGGGGGGGGTAGGACGGTACCCGTCCGCTCTCTCGGGCCAGCGTCAATTCCCTTTTTTAAAGGTAGTGTGCCAGCTTTCTTGGACCGTATGGAGTTAATGGCCCAGATAAGGAGAACCGGATTTTTAGAACTTATCCATGCCTTCAAAACTCATGGAAACGTCTTAAATTCTTCAAATTTTGAGTACCCCAGTGCGAAATTCGCCCCGACGGGTTGTCGGTCGTACCCCAACCACATTTCACACCACTATGAACAATAAATGCACACACTGAAATCGCTATTACCGATATGCTCATCCAATCAAGTTTCGATAAACCCGTTCATCATCATCTCCTGCGGTTTCAAACACGCCTGTTAGGTGGCTTCTGATGCTCGTCGAGGTCGGAATTTCCAAATACGCGTGGTGCGTCGGGCCGCGCGCTCCGACTTCGGCCAAGAAAAATGCGTCAGCTGATCATTGTCATTTCTGCCACTTGCGTGTGGTGAAATGGGGTCATAACTTATAAGACGGCTTTTTCATATCAATTATTTTACATAAAATCATATTTCAAACCATAAATAATGTTCGACAGCCAAATAAAAGAAACAATACCAATACGGGCTTACAGTTTAAGGCTCGACATTGTGTTGTCTACGATTAGACAGCTGATAACTCATTCCCGTACGTCGTATGGTCGTAACACTATAATTTGACCTTTGCTTATTGTCACAAGTGCGCCGCATTCGCGATTGTTGCCCGACGCCTGTTTGCAGGTGAGCCCACTACAGTTGTTATACATATCTAAAAACCGAAAAACTTTTAGGCGAAAAAGGCACTATTCCAGGCCCATTTTTGATTTTTTTTGCGATATTAGGTAAAAACAGAAGCTTCTTATCCTAGGAAAAATAAAATGGGAAATCTTTCAAAGGTGGCACACTACCTTTAACTCCTGGCATAATTACCTATGAATATTATATCACAGGTTATGCAGACAATACATCCGTTCCGTCATACGCACAAGCAACAATCCAGTTCTGTGCTCCCCTTCCACTCCATACAAATCAGCCAAGCTATAGGTCAGTCGGGCTGGCGTTATCCTCCCCCGCCTTCCTGTTTCACAGCGCTAAAACCCAGAGCCGAGACTTCCCGAGCGCGACCTCTGACCCCACGCGGTCCGAAGGGCCAGCCGACGCCCGAGGGCGCGGCGCGCGCCGGCCACCCGGATAGCCTCTGCTGAGTCTCCCTTCCATGCTCCGTTTACTACATGCTCGATTCATTCATGATTCTGTGTTTCCGCGTCCCTCTCGTTAGATGGCTCCACTGCTCTCATAGGCGGTCCCAGGAAGACTGCGGCCAGAATAACCCAAACGCCAAAAAATGAGGTTTTTGTTTAATATCTCGGAAAGTATTCGGCATACAAAGATGCAATCTCACAGTCTCGTGACAAATAAGCATACATACGAATCGGGTTAATGCTTACGCCTTTGGATTTCATATAAGACCAGATATAACCTAAAAAGCAAAACCAACCACTGTTTCATTGGAGAGCCGTACATCATGCACATCTAAAAAAAAAAAACATGCCAAACACTCAGGAAAGTGGTGGGGCTTCACAAGAATACGAGGTGCCCTGTGTTCTTTGTCGTTAGATGTAGCTGAACACGCGGTTCCAGACTGCTCACACTGCCAATTTGTCGAAAATTATCGAAGTTTGACCTAGAAAGTGACAAATTTCACCTTTGTTGACCTTTAGCGACCTTACCTTTTATCTGACATAAAAAGTGACAAGAGTATTTTTCTCATTATTTGGACGCTCTTTGGAACACCGCCTACGGCGTGCCGATACATGGCCCAGAGGCCGAGTTATAGGGCCCCCAGCAGAACCTGGAAATACAGGACCGCCAGCGGGACGCGGGTTAAGGATGATTTTCATTTAGTATAAACGACCATTAGGTCGTTTCCCCGTGTGAATCAGCAGCTGACTTTTGAGTTGTGATGAAACCGAAAATCGTACAGTGCAGATGGAGCAGCCGTACGGCCGCTCTCATGTGTGGGTTCGTATGTTTCCCTTGAGACCTTACCGAAAAGCAAACGGCGTCTGTTTGATGGAGCAGCAGTAGGGTCGCTATTCTGTGTGGTGTCATTTGTTTGGTGACATCTGACCCAACAGAAAAACGCGCCGGGTAGATGAGGGACTGCTGTGCGGGCGCTCCCTGCGTGAGTGCGTACGCATGTGTGCAGTGAGGCTTGACCGATAAGTGAACCGGGCTGGGCAAATAGAGCAGCCATACGGCTTCTCCCCTGTATGGATACGCATGTGATTGATGAGGGCTGACTGATGAGCAAAACGTGCCGGGCAAATGGAGCAGCCAAAAGGCTTCTCCCCTGTGTGGGTCCGCATGTGGTTGGTGAGGGTTGAACGCTGGGCGAACCGTGCCGGGCAAATCGAGCAGCAAAACGGTTTCTCTCCTGTGTGGGTCCGCATGTGCTCGGTGACGCTTGACCGAAGAGCAAACCGTGCCGGGCAAACGGAGCAGCCATACGGCTTCTCCCCTGTGTGGGTCCGCATGTGTCTGACGAGATGTGACCGCTCAGCGAACCGTGCCGGGCAAATGGAGCAGCTGTACGGCTTCTCCCCGGTATGGGTTCGTATGTGTACAGTGAGATCTGCGCGTGTAACAAATCTGGCTCGACATTCATGACACTGATGCGGCTTCACACGGACACCGGGTGTCTTGTGTTCTTTGCCGTTAGTTGTAGCTAAACACTCGGTCGCAGACTGCTCACACTGCCGGACCTTCTCGCCAACGTGGACACGTCTGTGCATCGTCAGGGTACCGGACCGTGTGAACGCCTTCCCACAGATATCACACTTGTACGGACTCTGACCGGTGTGCACACGACGGTGAGCGGTCAGACCGACTTGTTGAGAAAACGTTTTACCGCACACATCACAGCGGTACGGCCGTTCTTCCGCGTGAGTCCTTCGGTGCCGTGTTATGAGGCCGGGATAGTCGGTGACGTAACAACACCACTTGCACTTGTATCTGCCATTCATGCCTATTTGGACGTGCCGTGTCTTCAAGCGTCTGTCCAGGCGATGTCGTTCCAAACAGTTGAAGTCGCAGTGGGGACCATGAAGAGTGCCAGCAATACCTGGAGAACACATTTACATATATTGATTGACGCTACAAATTGATATGTGAGTGATATCAGTGATACCAATGGATCTTACAACCAACTGCATATTACAAGGAACCCTGGTCCCACAAGATCTCAAGTGGAAACCCTAAACTCATAACGAAAATGTCAACAAATTCCATGCCGCCAGCTCAAGCCGCTTTTCGTATATACAGAGAAGAAAAACTGGCCAGCGGGAGTCCACATGTTTCTGTTGATCAGCGATCGTAAGGTGAACCGTGCCAGATAGATGGAGTATGAGTAGGGCTGCTACAATGGGTGCCTTCGAATGTGTCTTTTGAGATTGGTACGTTGAGTGAACCGTGCTGGGCAGAACGAGCAGCCGTACGGCCGCTCCCTTGTGCAGTGTAGGTCCACATGTGTGTGGTAAGAGCTGGTGCGTTTATAAACCTTGCTGAGCATTTGAGCAGGCATAGTCACAGGAACCAGGGGAGGGGATAGGAAGGCTGAGCACCCCCTCCCTGTTTATTTGACGGGGCTCCTTGAAGTATGAAGTCACTAATATCAGCTGACAATCAGTGTAAACTAGTTTTCGTCCAATGTCGAGATGATATTTTGTGTGAAACTTGTGGCCGCGCGGCGCCTATTTTTTCCGTCTGCTTTTTCGGCGGACGTCGGATAATTTTTGATAAAACTGGCCTCAGGCCTCCGGCGAGAGGTCGCTTATATTCGCTCGGGCAGCTCATGTTTGAGTTCTTCCACGCTCTGTGATTTACCCTCGACAACCGCCCGTATGTGTTCCCACGGAAAGAAATCTGAGGGTATGATGCCAGGAGACTGCAATGAGGTCATGAGATTGAGGCACTGTTGGATATTACCCAGCCTCCAGTACACTCTCGGAGACTTTGCAGGGTCTTCAGGACATGTCGCACAGGGCCAATCATGCCAAAATCACCGATGGTTGATGGTGTTGACACAGCGATGCTGCAGCGAGCTGAATAACCGATGGAGGACCCATCGCCAGGGAACGGTCCTTGAAGAAGATGGGGCCGGAGATACACACCTTGTGCGCCCACCATACTCTGTTTTGATGTTTTACCGGTTGTGATGAACGTATGAATGTGTCTGGTGATGAAGCAAACTGAAAGAGTCGTTTTAGAGCCGAACAATGAGCGGTATTCAGGCTTTGTTCAGACTATAGAACCCGGCCAAAATCGGCTGGTATTCATTTGTGTTTTATTTGTTTGTCGACACCATGCGGGTGGCACCATAAAGATGTTAAGATACGTTAAGATAAGATACGACGTAGGTATGGGATGGGCATTTACACATTTATCTCTGGGTGTCACATTTGCTTCCGTCGCTCTTTATTTACAGAGTTCAGCGGAATGGAGCGACCCCCGAACTGTGGGGACAGCGCTCACTCCACTGCACGGGCCCTGCCGATTCATATACTCGTACAAATGCACGGATGGTACGGCGTGGTCAATTCGCGGGTCGAGGATCGTTATCCAAATTCAGTTACAGTTTGTGGATACAGCCCAGTGCTTCGATTTACCCCTAATCTCCATGAGAGCAGGCAGCAGCCCTGCTTGCATCTAACCCAGCCGAATAAGCACGCAGTGGATGATCGGAAGAAGGGTTAACCAAGGCCGGTCGAACCAAACAAATAGGGGCTTTCCTTAGTGTGCCACGACCTTTGGGGCCACCAACAATGCACTGACCTGAGGATGACGGTCCGGCCGGAGAGGAAGTCACAGACTCCCCAGACGTCTCAGAGTGGACGGTCAGCTCCCGGGCCGAGTCGTCTCCGTAGTACACCAGAAGCTCTGAGCCCCGCGGGATGGGCTTCGACGTCCTGAAAGGCAATAAATGGGTAATCGTTTATGATGTAGACATGACACCACTAAAAACCAGTTAGACTGGGCATGACACTATGTTAGTCCAGGCCTGGTAACTTAATGCATTGGTTTCAATAGCGCAACTGGCTGAAAGGGAAAATGTCGATGTCGCAGTGTTTATTAAGCCCGTTGGTCAAAAATGTTGCCAGTAAAAAAAAGGGGTCGAGAATGAAATGCTGAAAAAATAGGATGGTTAGTGAGTGTTGTAGTAGCTCATAAACAATAATAATAACTTTGAATCATTGGGCGTTAATTGGTTTCTAACCCTCGCCCGTACTGGTGTTTTGCTCGCCACGACCGTATAAGGGGGGGGGGGATCCATTGGACCCCCTTGCCGTTTCGCCCCTGATTGAGCTAGAGCTTCGCGGAAAAAAACGAGCGTGTTGCCCGTGACTAGAGTAAGCCGATGATACCCAATTTTAAGGTCCTAGGTCATTGGTCGACCTTCCAGGTCAGGCCAATGACCCAAAAGTCGGGAAAATCGGGACCTGTTAGAACGTCGTAAAGTGTGGCTGCTATGGGGTCACGAATATCATGTTAGTTAGAAAGAAAGTTTTTTAGTTACAAAGTCGCCCTTAAGGATTACGCTTACATCCTTTGCTTATGAGGTCGGTGGTTGGAAATTGGGAGGGGCTCAGCTATTTTCGACCACGGATATGGCTTTATCACATGATGAGGGAACATGCTGATAAGCGTTTTATGTGTCATAACAGCACAAAAGTATTTTTAATCATTTTTCAAAAATAGCGGTTCTGCCGTATCTTTCAGTGCAAGGACAGACGTGCCGTCGGTCATCCCCGACGCTACGTCACGCCGGGGATTGCCAGATTTTCCTACCAGACTTCGACGCCCCCTGGGTGTGACATTAATTTTGGGACACCCTGTATACAGGCGAGGGTTAAAGGGACAATGTCTAACATGGGAAATGGAGTTGAGATAGCAGTTTTGTTCGTTATATGCTAAAACCGCGTAATCCGGAGCCATTCGTCTCAAAAATATAATTTGACAACACTAGAGAGCAATTTCGATGGTCTTTACCAGATCGCCAAGGTCTTTACCAGATATGACCAAATGTGTAGGACGTTGCCACGAAGACTAGATTTCAAGTTAAGGTGAACCGATTCGACTAATACATTCGCCACATGCTATTCAATTGTATAGCCACTTTATCTTGCATCTTATGAGCTAATTAATATACAAAAATTTCAATTGACAGGGTAGGTAGATAACGAAACGCAATACACCTTCGAAACGCATGCGCAATTATTGAAACTTTCGCGCCATAACGGTCTGTAGCACATGGTTCACAGTAACTTGTAGCGACTTGTAGTTCGCTATATTTACACCAGGGCTTTGTGCTGTTTATGACGTCCTTGCCATAAATTAAGTCATTATTTTGAATATAGTTCTTCGTTGTTTTCATCAAGATTCAGCTAATTAATGGCATGCAACCACTTATTCAGGTATTATTATCCATTTTAACCCGCGCATGACTGGGGTATTTTCCATAACGGAAGTGACGGGGGGAGGGGGCTCTCCAGAGCCCCCCCTTCTATTTCCGAAACTACTGGGCCGATTGTCAACATTCAAACGGTGTCTGATAGCCCTGGAAAAACTGTCGAACGAAACCTATTTTTATTGACCTCGAAGTCACCGATGACGTCACAGGTCAGGTCTAAGTAAAAATTATCGACATTTTTGCTAGTTGACAATTTAGGCTCTGACCGTCGGCTGCCAAGTCCGATCATGCTCATTTTTGGTTTACGCACTCCTTGATAGATGCCTTAGATACCCTGAGGGTACCGAACTTTTACTTCGAATTTTTCAGGTCAAGGCCAGGTCATTCTAGGTCACGAAAATTGTATATCACGTATCGGTCATGTGACGCATGTTTTATGGTCCATTTTACTCGTAGATTTCGAAAATAATGTCGCCTGTGTCATTTGAGGTCATTTTCAGCTGCATTTACCGGAGGTCAGGTCACTTTCAGGTCAGAAAAGGTCAATTTTGAAAATGAAATTTTTCAACAAAAAGGTGCCTATCAGATGCAGTTTGAGCTCAGGAACACGATGGTGCCATTTATATTGCTGTACGACGTCAAAACGTACTGAAAAATGGATTTGAAAAAAAAAAACATAAAATTGTAAAATTTTGACAATAATGCGAATAACTTGGCTATTTTTGAAGATATTGGGCTAAAACTTGCTAGTGTAGTTCATCAAGGAGCATTCTATAACATATATTTCGGTTTTTGCGAAAAATCAAAAACTTTTTGAAAAAATCAAAAATACATTTTTTTGTAATTGTAAATACCTATTTTTCAAAATTTTCAACATTTTGAAAAATCGAGATTGCAGTTTGATAGCTACGTGTATTTGTAGTCCACTCATGCAAAGAAATTGGATCTAGCTTTAAACCTGAGCTCTTGAGAGCGTTTGCCGTAATTTAATATTTTGCATCAAAATCGGCCGACATGCCGACATAATCGACATACATGCCGACATAATCGACACAGACATTTCCGGCTAAACTATGGTAGCTAGAAAGTTGCAATTTTAACACAAGGTGTCAAATTCATGCCGCTGAGGGTACCGCAAGTTTCGTGTTGATCCGTCAAATGGTTCAGAACCCCCCCCCCCCCCCCACACACACACTCATGCGCGGGTTAAAGTGTTTTGGAATCATCCACTTCAATTTTTCAAGGTGAACATATCCCTTTAACCCGCGCCCCGTAAGGGGGAGGGAAGAAACGGCCCCCTGTTCTTTTCCGTAGATAACCCTGAAACGACTGATATCGTCACCAAACTTTCAGCCTGAAAGTTTGGTGAACTTTCAGTTTCAAACTGAAAAATTGGTGGAGCCTGAAAGTTTCAGGACCTCTCCGGGCATCAATTTTACACATTGTGATTAAAATTTGTCCAGAGGCTTTGATGGGTTAGCAACAAATGACGTCATGTTCTGCCACTTTCGACCAAAAAGAGGTTTCGCGGGAAGAGCTGTCAGGCCTCAGCCGTGAAATTAAAGAAAAATGCTCTTGACATAAAAGTGTAGAACCAGTAAAAAGCCTTTTGGGCGAAGAACGAGCGAGCGAGATAGTGAGCCCTGCACGTGCGGAAGGGCGAGAGGGTACTTCCAACGGGCATGTGCAAAGCACCCTTCTAACCGGTCGCTAGCGGTGTGCCAAATTTGAACGCAAAACGGCCTGGTCCCAACCGTGTACCAATTTGAGCGCAATCGGCCCAGCCGTTCTCGAGATCTGGGAGGCCCCCTGCACGTGCGCACGTGCAGTAGCACCCCAACATTAACACATGCAGATTAATTATCTGATGGAGACCTAACTGTGTACCGAGTTTCAATTCAATCGGCCCAACCGTTGTGCCGTTATTGTGGTTGCAATTTTGGGGTTCTTAAAAAATGTCCAACTTTACCACGCGCCACGTGCGGTGGTTGGCAAGAACGCATGGTGGCAATCACACCACAGAACTTTTACGTCCAAGTGACATTCAGTAAAGAAGACCGCTTGTCAATCGGATGTCCCGTTCCTAAGATATTAGCTTTTGAAGAGCGCCCTCACGGCCGGCCGGCCGGCCGCTCATACTCAGGATTTTCCCTTAATTCAGTATGAACTCGCTCGCTCGCTGCTCTCGCTCGCTCGTAATTAACAGGGTACCTATCATCATCATCATCATCATCATCATCAATTGTATTACGTCTAGAGACAAGAGAAGCATGGGCATAACAAACATACACAATGCACACAAGACATACGCCAGAAAACATATGCACAATCATACCTACACCAAAACATAGGCATACCAAAAACAACATAACACTATCATATGGGTGGCGCTAATATCATTTGTATTAGTGCCCATGCCTCCCCAGTGTTCTGAGCCAGGAGCCAACTGAGCGAGTCGGTGACTCCACAGGGGGGTCTTGGGGTGTACATAATCTCAGGTGGGATATGACCTCCAGCAACCTGTAGAAGCACACTCATATTGGCCCCACATACGATGAACATAAATCTAACGATAGGCGCGCAGTGTCCCGATGAGGCATCCCCAAGAACAAGAGTGGCCAGGCTGGCAACCAGAATTTGGCGTAGGCGGTGATTTTCGCGGAACGCATCACGGAAGCACGCGATGATGGAGCGACGTAGAGTCTCCTGCACCTTCGGTATGTGCAGAGCAGCGAGCAAAGCTGTGTGGTGGGCTCTGGATGGCAAACGTAAGGCAGCTTTGACTGTTGCTGCTTGCCAGGACTCGAGACGAGAGATGTCGGCGGGTCCCAGAGGGCACAGAGCACAACCAAATAACAGGGTCGGGGATACTATGGCTCGCCAAAGGAAAGCTTTGTCAGGGCCAGGGAGCTGCGAGCTGAACAAACCCGCTCGGGAGAGACCGAAATAGGCGCCTCGTCCACGGGACACGCGTGCATCTACGTGCACTCGGCCCTGAAGGTTCGGGTGCAGCTGAACACCAAGGTGCTCAGTGTATTCCTTACACGTGAGCAACTGGTTGCATAAGTGCCACTCAGGTCGCTGGGCTAAAAGACCAGCACCGAAAATGAAACAGTGACTTTTGGTTGCGCTCGGAACCGGGTTAACAAATTCGAGCCTCCAGCTAACTGAGAATTCTGAAACAGAATCCAATAGCTTTTGCAAGTCAAGTGCGTTCCCCGACATGACTAGGAGGTCATCAGCGTAAGCCACTACTGGGACATGCTTACTACAGACCATTGCACCAAGGCCGGTAGCGTCCAGTTGCTGTATCAGCGGCCTTAAGAAAATATTGGCCAAGCATGGTGACAGAAGCGCACCTTGCCTCACCCCTCGTCGTACGGAAAACGCATCCGATATAGAACCTCCGAACCGAACTCGTGCTGAGAGGTCGCTATACCAGAAGGCTAAAACCAGCCAACTTCGGCGAGATAAGTAGTCTTTAGCCCGAAGTAGGAT